AAAAATATGATAGAAAACAAAATTTTACTTTCTTGAAATTTTTATGTATATAAAATCAATTATGTTTGGACGGTAAGATGTCGTTCTTTTCACTTTTTACAACATTTTTTATACTTTCTGTATTTGTAATTTGAAAGATTGAACAAATATATGACTAATTTCTGGACTTTATAATATGTACCTAAAGACCGGTATTTAGGTCTCTGTATCATGATACGTATCACTCAACAAAAAATCGTGATATACCTGTATACCGATAAAATCCCTAGTGAAGACTAGCTGAAGAAACGTTTAACTTGATTAAATTTTACTAAATAATAGCAAGTTAGATCAACTACATTCCCCACATTTTATACACTGAATGATCTTTCATTACATTAATATACAAATTTCATGTTCCGTTTTCAAAGTTATTCAAACAACATTTTTTCATGCAAATACCAGTTTCTCTATTTTGTATCTCCTTGCAGCAGACACCCTTTTACTCTTCTTATCTACAAAACATAAATATCTTATACACATCACAAGTATTTTATGTCAGCTGTAGGGCTGCAAGAATTAGGTACTTCACAATTCACATTCTCACAAGCTAAGAAGTTTTGGTCTGCTTAAAATTGCTGAACCACAAACTCTTTGCACTAGCCACTGAAAATGTGATAAATACATTGTTTCAACAAGGCAAGATCCTTGCAACCAATGAGAAGACTGCTTTTCTGTCATATTTTGTCATTTATAATCAATCACCTGTCAATGATTTTAATTCCATGTTTTTGAGCGTTCTTATACATGTACATTATAATATTCTTATTTCTTTAAGATCTATCTACTTCTATTGATTAGATAAACCTTTAATTATTTTATGAATTGTTTAATCTCTGCTTTTCTAAATATCTCCCTTATTTGCTTATTTTATGAATATGAATACCAAACAACAGGTGCATTTGGAAAACTGTTACCTTACTGACTAGAATCGAGTTAAAATGAAGTGCGTCCCGAAAATTTATCTTATAATATTCAGCCAAATTTTTAGTGGCATTATCTTCAAACAGTTTATAGGGAGCCAAAACAGATTAAAAATTCTTAATTTATGCATGGAAGTTGCAAAGATGAATTCAATTTGATTTCACTAGTTATAAAAAAACTTTAATTAGGCCATGATTAACAATAGGGCAGCTCGCAATGTGAGCTCTAAAGAAAACACCTGGGCAAAGAGAAAATTAAGACTTACACATTGATCCAAACAATTTTTTCTTCAGTAATTTCTGGACCCACAATTAATACATAGCTTCTTAAAGTTACGTTCTTGTGGAAATAAGAACATAAATTCAACAAAAAATAAACTCGCTTTGATTAAATGAATATATTGCAGAGAAATAATAAATAAAATTATGTCCTTCTCTTAAAGTCAGCACAGTTCAGGCTTCGGTTTGGCATTGCTACTTAAATTTAGCGTCGTGTGATGTCATTGTTAAGACGCACCAATTGTCACCTACGGTTTGCCGAGCCTGATCCAAATTAAAACTGTATAATTATCTGCGCTCGCCCTAACACTTGCATCATCAACATATTAATTGAAATCTTCTCCTGATGTTGAGAAAATAAAAAATGCAATTATCAAATAAGCTGAATAATAGAGCAGTATAGGCCTATTTTACATTTTTTGTTTTAAGTTCATAGACATGTCCTGTAAGTGGGTCGGCAGAGTTTCCATATGGTATCACAATCAATGTTGATGAGCAACGAAAAGATTTACACATTCAATGCCATATTGTTTTGAATTATATCATAAAATATACGTATAATATTTTAACAGACTGATAGAATATGCTTCGAATTGGTACCTAGAATGCATAAATTAAGTCATCAGTCCGAATGACTGATAGAAATATTTGGTTTTCAGAAACTCTGGGTCGGTTAGGACTAGTGAACAAAAAAGTGTAATAACCTAATTGATTTACTTAATACTTTAATTTCCAGGTATCTTGTACATGTAAATATAGTGTTGTCACGATGATCGATTTATAATCGATGATCGGTCGGAAAGGCTGTCGATTTTAGACAATCGATTGGAGATTTTAACAATCGATTAATCGGTATATTTAAGCACATATCCTTTATTTAATAGTTTTCTCACTTTTATTTCAAGAACAGACTATTGTTATAAAAATATATATCTTCCAAGTGGTGTCCTCTACTACCTATTTTAAAATACATGTACGAGTACTTAAAATCTGTTTAAAATAAATCGTAAGATAATGATAATTGTATTTCTAAACAAAAGAAACTACATGTAAACTACTTGTATAAATGAAATATATTAGTTATCAGTATTTGGGGGAATTCACTTTTCATTTCATGTGTAATCACAAGGATTTGCAATATCAAATGTCTTATCACAGTTTAAAAAATTAATTTGATATATATTTTAGATGATCTTGAAAATTAAAACCTGATCTGTCAATGCTTATGTTTCCCAGGCCAAGTAATTCCTAATCATGCAAAAGTCTGTATTACTGAAATTGTTAATCAAACTGTATATATACTGTTTTTAGAATTTAGATCTGTACAATACAACTTTACTTACATTATTTAAATAAAATTCTAAATTTTATATGAAATATAATGCCTATTTTATGCAAAGGGTTACCGATTCGATTATTGGCCGATGATCAGTCGGTTTGGGTCAACCGATGTTACCGATTAATCGATTCTGATTTTCAACCGATTTGACAACACTATGTAAATATGATTTTCTTATATTTACCATTGAAGCATGGAAGTTTGTTTACATGTGTATGGATATGTCGAGCAGATTAAAAAGCCAACCGATACTCGCAGATAAAAACTGGTATAAAACAACAAGCTTATATGTTAGAACAATTACTTACTGAGAAATTTCTTGTTAGGCATTTTAAAAGTTTCTTTTTAATGAAATTCGGGATGGTTTACTTGACGGTTGACCACGTGAAATCTGGATTGATCTATCACTATAGATCTTTAAAACCAATATATTTACACCTTTAAAATAAACGCTTCTGAGACTACGATTAAGGTACGTGTAAAACTAGTACATAGTAGATGCATATTAAATAAGTGTATCTATATAAAGGAATGTTTGTTTTTATCTTTATATTTTCATAAAAAAAGAAACAAAATACACAAGACATATAAAAAAATGCACTGACTAACAATAAAGTCATGCCATTGTGTTGTTGACCTCTTCAAGAAACGAATTCTTGTGATTACTACATAAGTTCAGTTAATATCTTTACTTTCAGAATCAGATACATGTATCTTCGATGTCAGTCGCAAAGTAGATGCCCTGTTCTTTTTCAAAAACGAAGGGGAAACCTAAACATCAACCAAATGCATAAACATCCATTTAATAAAAAAAATAAAGACAAATCAAAGAACTAAAAGTACTGAAAGCGCGAAAACAAGATATCTCTTCCAATGGCGTTTTACTACATGTTTGACAAAGCCAGTATTATTTTCCCTTTTATGAACAAATATATCACCTGTTAAACGAATTTTTCTCTAATGTGGGTATTTGCTTATTTCTGGCGTAAGTGTGAGATTGGTTGGACTTTTGAAAAGTTACAATTGCAAGCATGTCATTGAGCTAGTAAAAGGTGACTTCCAGGTTAATTTTTATACGTATATTATAAATATTCAGAATTTCCTTGAACACGTTTTGAGATAGGTCGGATAGGCAATAAAAGTGTAAAGCACCGAGTAACCAAATGAAGTGCTTGATGTGAACAGTGGCATGATCTTACTTCAACACGTTGAAAGTCTTTCACATACCTTACCAATATTTTACACTTATGATGGTGCCTCAGTGTCTTTTATGTAAATAAATTTAAATGAAACGGCTTAAATTCATGTTATATATTTCTATTATTTTTAATTTTAAAGTTTATTGTTTGTCTATATAATTGCTTATGTACAGTTTTCAACTTCAACATTGAAAAATATTATAGGCTTATTTTTCTCGGCTATATAGATTTTAAAATAGATCATATACGCAGCACTGTTAAGGCTTACTATGAGAAATCAACGGAAAAAAGAAGTGCAAAAACTGGAATTGTTTTTAAAAATTAAAACTGAATAATTTTATATATTTTTTCAGCTGTTTTAGTTTATGGAAATAGCTTATAGTATAACCTACTGTATGAAGTTTTGTCCCATCGATGGACAGTCACGTGATGAATGCATAGTACGTGCACTGAATGTAGGCCATTAAGAAATTTCAATATCGCAAGGGCATACCCTATTTAAATTAAAAATTCAATCAATTGTTTCAGTATGCGTTGTACTTTCTGAAAAGTGTTGCTGCTTTGAATAGAATTCGCGTTTTAATAGTAAAAATTTCTAGTAAATAGGCCCATGTCGAAATATGTTTGACTTTTATCAAATGTTTCGTGTACTTATAAAGTCACCCTCTAGATTTAAAGAAAGCAGCAACATTTTTTAAGCTAAAGAACATAATTATCCTTTATTTATATTCAGAAAATGGTTAAGATTTGTTTAGTGTATGCCCTTGCGAAAGAACGAGTTGATGAGGCACCTCGATGTAAAATATTCCTAACCTACGAAAGCCTACAAGGGTTAAATTAGAAAATGAAGGGGAAAAAAACTAAGTCGTAATAACGACTTTTTATCTCGTTATTACGACTTTCTTAAGTCGTAATAACGACTTTTTATCTCATTACGACTTTTTATCTCGTAATAACGACTTTTTTTCTCGTAATAACGACTTTCTTAAGTCTTTATCACTCTCCAGCCTCGATAAAAATTAAAGTTCAGCAAAATATATCACTTGATCACGGATCTTCCTTTCTGTGTTTAAAAATTGCTACGGCTCTTGCTCACCTATCTTTTTAAAAGATAAACTTGTAAATTTCCGTTAAAAATCTCTTCCCCGTTTTAGCGAATCCTTTTTTACGGTTTAATCATCGATACGTACATGCATCTGTTGATAGCTAGTATATACCGTATGTCTAATCTGCACGTGTAGACAAGTAAAGTGCTTTATTGATTGTTGAAAGGACGGGTTTACATTTGTGCATGAGTCAAAGGAGTGAAACTAATCAAATAAGATAATCTAACCTAGATTTCGTTTTAATTTGGAGATCAAATGATTTAAGGTAAGTTTTATTTTGAAAACGTACATTATACAACATGTACAATGGAAATCAGCAATCTAAATCTTTCAAATGCACGGAAAGGAATGAAAATGATTAATATATAATCTTGAATACATCTGAAAGAAATATCTATTTATGAAAAAGATAAAATTTGGTCAATTAAATAGTACTTAATCATTGAATAATATGACCAAATAAAATTCTATTTTTAGACTGGGGAAATCCAAAGTTATTTATATATTTTTTTCTGTTTGTACTTTATATTTTAACTGTTTCTACTGCGTATTACTGTTTTACTGAGCGGGCATAAAAAGGGTATGACAATGAACTTTATAAAATATGCTGTAAATAATTCATCTTGTTTTCACTGTGTATAATGTAATTTTTCGTTTATTGGTGATAGTGGGGGATCCAGGAATTTTGAAATGGGGGGATCAGTTTAGGGTCGGAGTAAGGCCATATTAAATCTTATGTATATAATTTGGACATAAAAGGGGATGTGGGCCCCCTGCCCCCTATAAATGCCTTATGCATAATTATATATACAGTATTTATTTACATCATATTAAACTTGATCAATATAGTTTATAAATCTAAATTTGTGTATTACAGTGTATGTAGGTATTTATATTTAAATTGTGATACATGTATTTTACATTGTAAGTTTGCCTCATGCCTTATATTTCAAACGTGATGAATACATGTGTACTTGTTTATGGAAATGCCACAGCTGTCTTAATTAAGGGTACCACTACAAATAGAAAAGGGGGGTTGAGATCTAGAAAAGGGGGGTTGAAATCTTTTACTGAATATGCCATAGTACTATAACCACGTAGTTTGGGTCAAAATATGTAATATGCCGTTGATCGGGAAAGAGGGAATGTTGGCAGGTAAAGTGAGTGGCGACGCTGGCCGGAGGTAGTAAAGCCGTATTCCTAGGACTCTTCCCGACTGCACATATTAGAAATCCAAAGTAACGAGTAATCTGGTTTCCGAGTTTATTAAAAGTGCATGTAATTAAATGATGGACAATAATTTTAACATTCAAGAAATACAAACGGGGAACACAGACGGAAGTGGCCAGTAATGCGTCGGGCCTCCGAACTGACAAATACAATTTAGATACTGGTATATAAAAGAATTCTGTAGAACAATTAGCAAATTGAGTGACAAAATGACATGTGTAGAGTAAATTACAATCTGTGAAACGTTTTGATAAGATGGACTTGAAAGAAAGATGAATCAAATAATTACATGTTTGTTTTTATAAGGTATTAGAGATTAGTGACGGTTAACACTCTGTCTCTTTGTAGTTCTCGACATTTGTCCATATAGTGTCACTATGTAATTAAGTAAAAATTGGGCGTTTCATAGTCCAATAGTTAATACAGATTTAGAAATAAGTTCAATGAAAATAATAGATGACATATATTAAAGTTCAAAATAAAAGTCCAAAAGAAGTGTTGTAAAATGGGTAAATTTTACACGGTGATAGTACGTGTCAGTTAGACTACATGTATTTAACGTTAATTAATTAGTCTATTCTTTATATATATCAGGAAGTCAAAGTTATATATGAACTGTAGTCTATATATCCTTTATGTCATTAAGGAAAAACTTTGGCATGTCTTACATGTAAGGTTTTGTCACAAGAAATACACGTGTGGAATTAAAAAGCATTAGACTTATACCACTCGAAAGTTAAAGCGAATTAGTTAAAAAAAAATTAATTTAAGTGGTCCAAACTCTAAGATCAACGGTAAAAGGTAAACCCCTATGGGAAGGTCTTGTAACCATGAATTCTATGAAAGCCCTAACACCGAGAGTTAAAAAGTAAATCTGGCCAAAGTTAAAGTTTTGTATAATTTCTGTAGATGTGGGTCGAAAACTGAGGTCAAGGTTAAATAAAATTATGTTAGTATCCAAAGAAAGGTCTCGTCACAAAGAAAAACACAAAGGAAGTATAAAAGCAATAGCTAAAATCATAAGTTTTTGGCAAGATTAATTTTTTTGTGGTCAAATTAACAGAAAAATAAAGCTAGGCAGACGCGGACGGATATGGTAAAAATAAAACTATATGTCACGGATCTTCTATGACAGGGGCGTAAAAGGTTATAAAAATTATACCAAGAAAAGAAATTCGGCCCAGGATGAATTCTGTATTCATCCTTTTTTGTTTTATAGTTTTTGGGACTTAAGCATACTAGACTTCAATAAGAAAATATCCGATATACCAGCTACATGTAAATAGAATGAAATTCACATGAAATTTATGGAGATAACAATTATAATTCAAGCCCAAAAGTCCATGGACTGCACTCAAAAATACGAATCAAAAATTGAAGAAAAAAAAAACAGGGATCTCTGAAACATCAGAGATGGGATCAGGTGCCATGGATGAGTGAGTATCCACTGCGGACCGGTACCGTACCTTCCTATCCTTATCTTGCTCGGGAAATAACGGAAAAATGCATTGATAAGTATACTGTACTGTTTCTGACTTCTATTAAATTTATATTTCTATTTATTTCAGGCTAACACATTAATGATGAAAGATAAAATTACCCACTTCCTTTAAATCAGACCTTTTAACATGGATATGTCACCAAAACGGAATGAAGTACATACAGGTATATGATAAAAATGACAGTACGTGATCGAAATTGGTATGTTCTAAATTTGATCATACCATTTAATAGAACATGATATGACCATGATGTTTTCACTTTTTATCAATATCATATTGTAGTGTGTTGGTTTGTTAATTAACCATTGGTTCTTTGAAAATTCGAGAGAGAAAAAAAAAACGAAGGCATAAAAACGGCATCTAGAAAAGCTTTTCACCGGGAAAAATCGTCGGAATTCACGAGTCTTTTCTGCGGTACATTTCACGTGCGTTGCATGCAGATTAACGGGAAAAAAATCGGGGGGTTGATATAGGCAATGATCGGAAAACTCATTTACAATACCGTCGACTTATTTTAGAATGTAGAAAGTCAATCCCGAGAAAATTTGAATGTCAAGAAATGAAATATGAAGAAAACGTCAACGCACAATATTACCATGCTTAATGTCCATTTAAACTACATAAATTGAAAGCAACTTCAATCCTTTAAAAACATCAGAGGTGGAATCACGTGCCATTGGATAAAAAGCATCCTCTGTTGACCTGTCGCACGTGCTTTGTATGGTCCATCTTACGATTGAATTAGCGCATTGAAAAGTTTATTTCTGCCATGATTTTGCTCTAATAGACTTATAGACGCATTTACACTGTATCTAAACATATTTTGTTTGTTACAGTTGTTGACGGTAGTAACTCTCGTGAGTCTAGGTCAGACGACCACTTTATGTTCTGACAACCAAGTTTATCACTCAAATGGGAAATGTTGTCAATACGTACGCTGTGAACCCCGTAAGTATTTTCAACCAAATGACACTAAAAGCCTTCATAGCTTCCTTTTCTAAATTATACATGTTATAGGTCAAATCAGAAAATGTAATGATCTTAAACAAAATGACAACACATACCGCACCCTCACAACGTCGGTGGTTCTGAGTCATGCATGAACTAAGTTAGGGGTCAAACCGCAATTAACGTGTTGACGCAAGACCCCCGGCGTTACGAGGATGCACATACTGAGAAAAATACATATACGTATTTTTATTCTAATAATCAAAAATAATTTTTTTTTAAATGGATAAAGTAATAAGAATTTATGTTTTTATTCTTCAGAGCACTTAGTGAAAGTCTGTGAGAGTAACGGAGAAGCAGATGTCTGTGTACCCTGTCCCGAGGGTACCTACCTTGACGATCGCACGGACAGCAACTTCATATTTGACTGTCTAGAGAAAAACTGTGGTGAAGGTATCTACAATTATAATCTAAAGCAAAATGAGCAGCATTTTTGAAAATTTTATTTTATTATGATCAATAAAACTAAAATCAGAAGAGAGGCTTCTATATACAATTCGATATACACTTTTATATAAGAAATGATTATTGTACAGGACGACAATATTGTAATTTTGATTCAAAACAAATAGTTCTTTCATCTCAAATATAAAAAGTTTATTGACGTAATTTTTTTCTGTCATTACAATAGTTATTGCAACAAAAAATTCAGACACAAAGTTGCAGCTCGTATAACTTTAAAAAAGAATAATCACCAAATTCGGAAATGGATGCAATATGAACTTCGTTGGGTTATACAAGTCATATAGAGTGCATCTATGAAAAGTGGTTAAAATTTTTGCATATGAATTATGTATATTTTGTTGCAATATTAATAAAAAAAATTAATTTTGCAATGCAGCATGCATCATTCTTTCCCCCAATGCAATCATTCTTTGGCGTCAATATGTTCAGTCAAATTATGACGTTATGAATCCCTTTCATGGGTTTAAATTATTGCAGCTGGATCATTTCATTTGCATTTTGGTTAATATGTAATTATAATTTTAGATTTTTAATTTCATAAATTCCAGATACAGTGCCGTCAGATTATCCAGCAACCAAATTTGACAATACAGCTTGCCCCAAACGATGTCGATGTAATACTGCAAAGAATTATTGCGGCACAGATCCGTGCCGATGTCAATACCATTTATGTGTCCACCCCGAGGAAGAGCTCCAGGAAAACTGTACCTGTATCAGGTAAGTTAATATATTTTTTAGTAAATTCTTATCGTGAATTGTTAATAATAATATATATTTTCTTAATAATATGTTAGTATTTCAGATTATCAAACATTATCTTCTCAATAAAAGTGTTTAAAAAACAAATCGGAGTACATATATCTAACCTCTATGACTTCTAGATCATAATTGTTTCATTTAATTTTTCGTTTTTGAAAAAAAGAAATTAATTCAACCTTATTAAAAGTTTGATCCAACTTTACATAATTAATAAATTACATTTTTATTTTTTTCTATCTGCGAATAAATAAGGAAAGAAAAACGAAAGCACAGCACAAAGCTGACACTATCCACCACATTCTCAACTAATGAAGATGGACAGGTTTCTCAACATCCACCCGGTTCTACAATACATTCTACCTCCTCTAAAATACCAAATATAGCAAATGATACCAATGATGACAGGTTAGCATTCCTTTTTTAATTATAATTACATGTGTTACATCTCCTTTGATTAAAAAACATGGAAAAAGTCAATACGTGCATTTATTGGTTTAATGTTGAGACCTGGTCTTTTCACTGCAGATTTTACAATAAAAATTCGTCTAGATTGTGAAATCACTATAATGAAAATTAACATCATGATTGACTAATTTTAGGAACGATAAGGAGAAAGAGATCATAACACCAAAATGGATGGAAAATCATCCTAGAAGTAAAGAACCAAGTTTCCAATATTGGATAAGCATCCCTGTCATTGTTATTTTGGCTGTTGTGTTTCTTGCCAGTTTTACGTACATGTACGTACGTTACAGCAGAAGAAGGGGAAAGGAATCTAATGTAACATATTCATATCACAGTGTTCATAATCATCAAACAGTTAATACCTATGAGCGTTGCAATGTCCAAATAGGAAACAAGAACACTCTTAATGTGTGTGACATGGGCGAAAATGTCGGTAGCGAACCTTCTGAATGATATATATATTCAATGGGTGTATTACAACAGTTTTGTTTTCCTCATCAAAGATTTGTACAGGTGTAAAGGACAGAAGACATGTGATTTACATGACACATTGTGTAATTATAAATTCAGCAGGAAATAGTTCAAGAAATGTTTTCATATTTAATATGTTCATAGAAAGTGAATAATTTTATATGCACTTTGCAATATAAGAAGAATGTAACTACATAAGTTTCAAATTAAAGTTTTTGATATAACTTCATTATATTTTAAAATTTTAGTTTTAATTTTTTTTTCATAAATTCAATCTATGTGGAAGGATGTTGATTCATACATAGAATTTTTGTTATGATCTGGATATTAAATTGCAAATCTGGTATATAATTTAAATATAGGTTTTTAATGTACTGAATATTTTCTAAAACCCCTGTCACACCGGGGCTGCGTCCTCACGGCGACTGCTCGGCGTCCTTAAAAAATGCAAAACGCCGAGGTGATCGCAGTAGAGTCTCCTACAGCGCCGTGACAACGCGGCGAGATCTCCATTGAACGCCGTAGGGTCGCGTAGGGTCTCCAAGAACGCAGGGGACGGCGATCACTTTGGGCATGCACAAAGTACGCGCCGTGTGATCGCGGTCTGATAAGAACGCAGTAGAAACGTAGTATGATCGCCGTAGCAGCGCGGTGAGATCTTCAACAACGTAGTGGGAGTTCCGTATAAACGCCGTGAAGACGCACATGATCGCGGCACGAACGCGGTGATAGTAGAATGCGCTTCCACGGAGATGACGCGGAGTTCTTGGAGATGTCACTGTGTTTCTATCGCGTTTTTACGGCGCTTCTAATGAGATTTATCGTGTTTTGATTTTTTCGACTGCGATTACACGGCGACAGCACAGAGTTGTCACTGCGATCCTTACGCTCCCACGGCGTTTCTACAGCTTCCGTTGGCGACCACAATGCGCTTTCACGGCGTTGTTAGAGCGTTGTCAGCCAGCTCACAAAACTAGAGCAATAGGATCGTATTTGATCAGCAATAATTCCAACGTATTTGCTGCACTAGGAGCATTTAACTGAAAAAAAAATGGAAGAGAAAATTACACAAGAACTTGTTCTGTTGTTTCACTTAAATTTTGTAGAACACATTCATAATAAAATAAAGAAAATGTAACAACACAACTGAACCGATGAAATTGAAAAAAGGAGTTTAATAATAAAACATTTAATAATTTAGTACTAAATTATTTAAATATAGAACATTTTTAATTATTAAGAATATTTCTTGGCATGATTAGAAGTCTTTTCATTGTGTTAATTGACAAAAATGTGTTTCATTCCTTCTGAATATATTTAAATGAGTATAGAGCGCATTGTGAACGTATTGTGAACGCAGCCAGCGCAGTGGGAACGCCGTGAACAAGAGGTGAAAACTCCTAATGCGCCGTGAAAACTCCGCGGAAGCGCAGTCAATTGCCGAGAGATCTCCGTGGGAACGCAGTAGAACGCCGTGAGATCGCCGTAGAATCGCGTCTGTCGCCGTACGGAGGCTGTGACATCTTCATATTGTGAAAATTTTACAGAAATTTGTGCAATTTTCCGGCGATTCTGCGGCGATTTTAAAAATTTAACAACGCTGTAATGACTCCGTGTGAACGCAGCTTGGTGTGACAGGGCCTTATGCCTAGGTCACATTTCCCGATCGTTGGCCGTAGACCGGTTGTAATCGGTGGTAATCATTGGGGTAAGCGATGCTTAAACATCGGTCCACATCGGCCTAGTAGTCCTTAAAGTATCAGTCACATTATCCAGCGATGGGCAATAACAGAAATTTTTGATAAAAATGGCGTGGTTGCCGGCCGGACTTTACAAGGGCCCAGCGATGCATTGCTAATCATAAAACTATGTTCCGGGATAATCGACCGATGTATATTACATCGCTCATACATTGGTGAACATCGTTCGCACATCGGTCGACTACGGGCCAATGTTTGGTCGAACATCGACTGATGATCGGCCTTTATCTGTTGCCCACCACTCAACCTCCCGATGACCTCAGATTCAACGGATATTGGACGATGCTCGGCCATACATCGGCCGATTCTGAAAGATGTATTAATAATGGGTTGCCGATGAGGTTCGATGTGAGGCATCGTTGGAGACATCGCTGAATTTTAACTACGAATTATTTCTTATGCCTAGGTCACATTTCCCGGCCGGTAGCCGTAGACCGGTGGTAATCGGTAATAATCCGTGGTGTTAACGATGTCCCAGCATCGGTCCACATCCGCCAAGTAGTCCTTAAAGAATCAGTCACATTATCCAGCGATGTG